CATAATCTCGTTATTCAAAATAAGACCTAGAGCTAGGTGTTTAAATTTTTCAGTTTCACATATTGTTTCGTTTCGAACGAAATGTACAATGTCCTGAGAATAAGCAGTCTAGCACATAGGTCTTTGTTCTACGGATGAGTCGAAATTTTGCAATAATAAAGAACAGTGGTGGCCTAGCTTCTCAATTAAGAAGTTCATTGAGATCCCTGTTGCGGCATGTACCTGTGATTATAATTTGTCTGTTACGTAAATTTTTTTCTTAAATGACATAACCATTCGCTGACGGCAAAAGCAAGCGCCGTCATGAAACTTGCACGTCGAAGAGGGTTCACAACCCTTGGAAGATGTATGAAGACTGCTTGTCTACATACAAAGAAGTCAAGTAAAACAAAATTACAATTGTTACAAAAGAAACTCATCGACACTGTGAAATTCATAATCCAAGAAAAGGAGTTTTAGTCGGGTATGAAATGTTTCGTCGTTTGTAACACTTTTCCGGTCTGTGGGTAGATGTTCGTAGAATGGGAGACTCATTTTTTCGTTGCGAGTTCTGGCATGGTGGGCAACGGATTTAGTTTTCCCGCGTTCGACGCTCGGCTATGGCATCAACAATTTCCTTAGAGGAAGTGGGACAAATAATGTGTTGGCGATGATTATGACCTACTTACTTGATACTGTAGGCTGGTTCGTCCGTCCCTGTTGGTACTAAAATCTTTATAGACTTGTATTGATTATCTGATACCACAACGTCTGACGTTGTGGTATCGGACTATATGGTATAGGACTGATCCTACAATTAACAATATTCTCAGTACACATCACCCACGTGTCAAAAATGATATCTTACAATAAAGCAATTATTTATTTTGCTTCAACGACGTAGGAATACATCCTGAGAAAATCTGCCTTGAAAGTTTTACAGAAGGTGCGTAGTCATTAACATGCATCGAGCCAATATGGTGTAGGATCGATGACAATGACATAGTAAAGTGGTCTGTTAGTTGATTGATAAGTTATCAAGGAGTTTTTATGAAATTTCAACTTTCCATAAGGGGACGAAATTGGCATTTTAACACAAAAGTGATATGAGAATGACGGCTCAGTCTCCCTTGTTCAAGGGAGACCCGGGAAGAATTTTCCGGGAAGAAGTGTCTCCCCAGGAGAGAAGGATCGAAACTAGTTACGTGCAAGGAAGGATAACTCCTTCATCGCAACCGATTACGAAACTATTATTGCATAGATTTTGATTAAATCAGCCCCAATTGTACCAACAATTGTACGTGGTCCGGAGGGCTTTGGAGGCGTCTTCTAAATGGATAGTTTTCATGGGCACAGGTAGGTCTATGTTGTAAAATTCAGATATTTTGTGCACGACTGTAGTTTTTCTGCCGTATAACTAATCTGTCGAGTGCAAGAATCTGCTCAATCTCCGAGTCTGACGAATAGCAAATACGCCGAATTCGGATTTTTGTCCTATACCGAATAAGGCTCTACTTCGCTTGCCATAATAGCCTTCGACATCCGTGATTCTACCAACAAAATCTTTGGACTAACCGTTTGACTGAGAATGCCCGACAGAATCTCATTTTATTTGATAACAAATTCTTCGCTGTAGAGGAATTTCTTACGAAGTAATTGCATTGTCTTTGTAGGACGTAGCCGTATTTCCCAAATACATTTCAGTTTCAAAATGTGTTTTATACTATTTACGTTGTTTTATATTCACTAATATTGTTTATTTAGTAACGAAACATTTGATACTGTAATATTGCGACTATGGTTATACTTTATTATATAAAGCATGATTTATTAGAACCCATGCAATCGTTGCATGTGCTCTAAAGTCAAGTGTTGCCTTGTGGCCTAACTACGAGATTTTAACACCTAGTTTATGTAATGATTGCAAACAATATTTTTTCTACGCATAAGTAAAATAGTGAAACACTTAGAATAATAACGCATAGATTGATAGTTTCATATCAAACGTACTGTCACAAGTGAGGCAAAAATCAAATTCATGTAGGCTAGTTTTAGTAGTAGGTTAATTTTCGGATTTAGTGAATATTTATATAAAAATACAAGTTGAAACGCGTTACTTCCTTGTGGAATGTGCTGTTAGTATATATTTTATGTTTGTCTGACATATTTTTACACTCATTTACCGCACATTTCGTCATTTTTAGCTAAAGTTCTTGAGCTGTTCGCGGTGCAAGTTGACCTTGAGCACTGAAGGCCCGCCCGCTCGTGTAGGCCCTTTGGGAGCGCTTCAATTTGCCTCACTTAGCGTGTGCGGACTAGGTTTCTATGCGTTATTATTCTAAGATGAAGCACTTATTTGTTATTAATTCATGACAAGAAACTCAAACGGCAACCAAACAAATGCTACAAAACAAAAACCAAAGAGATAGAATACACAACTATAATATTTTTTCACCTCAGTAGCTCGGAGATGCTTTCTTTCTCCTTAGAAATCTGCGGGCTAAAGCGATTTTTGCACGCTAGCGTGGAAAAGGTTTTTGAAATTCGAACTTGACGATGAAGCGTGGTGCGCCAACTTTTCTATCGATGAATAAAAAGATGATGGCACGTTCAATTAAGCGATTTGTCGAGCATTACTTCCTTTAAGTAACATAAATACGTTGGTATTTTTTATTCTTATTATTGTTGACATTAAATTGACAATGATAACTGTGTTTATTAAATTATTTTAATTCGTCGAAGAACTAAAATAATTTCAATAACAACTTAATCACACAAAATAAAAGTACAAGCAAGAATAAAAATTGATGAGGCGTAAATTCAGAACGCGTCTGAAGATAAACTTATTCTTTTCATTATAAAAGGTTTTACAGTACAACTGTTTTTCTTTCATCTACCATTTCCCTCGCTACACTCAGGTATATAAATTTGAACCTTCTTGCTTCCTTCGTTTGCTCAGGTTTCAATACAAGCACTGGCGGCAAACAACAACTTTGCAGCTTTGCATAACAAATAACTATTTTTCAGTTCAGTAACGAGTACCATATACGATACAATTTTGATTCAGAACTAAAAAGAGCGCCTTCATATGGTTATGAAACTATAACTGACAGAAGGAGTAGAAAAAAACACATTTATTGTTTTACTATTGTTCCAAAAATCGTATTTTTTTTACTGCATTTTTTCTATATTCCCTAAGATATAGAATAATGTAAAAATTAAATCTGTGGAGAATGTTCACATCCCAACCCTATTTAAAGGTTAATAGGTCTGAAGGCAATGGTTGCAGCGAAAAATGGTTGACGGGAAACGTCGAGGGCTTTCTGCGCCTCTCGAAAATTATGCCCGATCTGTATTTGAGCACGTTCGTTTCACCGCTCAAGCGTCGGTCAGTAATTAACAAAAAACACTGTATTACTCATTGCCACCCATTATTGAGTCTCTCTCAACCACATGGATATAATTTTATAATATTTTTGAAAATGTGTAGGATGTTTGGTATATGTATAACGTGACCTCTATTTTTTCTCTCAGAGCGGGGCGCCTGTTAATTTATTATTGTTTTAAACTTAGAATAATAACACATAGAAACCTAGTCCGCACACGCTATGTGAGGCAAATTGAAGCGTGAACAGCTCAAGAATTTTAGCTAAAACTGACGAAATGTGCGGTAAATGAGTGTAACAATACGTCAGACAAAACATAAAATAGATACTAACATCACATTCCACAAGGAAGTAACGCGTTCTCAATTCGACTGTATGTTCTTTTTTTTCTTTTTTTTTGTATAAATGTTACGCGATAACTCCAGTATTTGTGAACCGATTTTCATGATTCTTTTTTTGTTGAAAAGGAGGTACTTCCATAGTGGTCCCATTTCATTTTGAAGAAAATCATCCACCTCGAAGGGTGGCTGTTCACACATGAAGATTCACTTTTAAATAGCGCCTAACTTTAATTTAGGAGCAATTACTTTATTGGTTGATTTTGCTATTTCTTCCATTCAAGGCGTTTTTCTCTCAATATACTTTGAGTAGTGTCGTAGTGAGAACCTATTTTTATTATCTCCAGCGTCAAGTCCTGTATAGTGGCGAACTAGGGGATATTTCAATAAAACTTAGCAAATAGACGTAATTCCACGTACTTTTGAGGTCGGTTTTTTTAGTACTCTGTACTGAGATATAAATATGAGATATAAATATTCACTAAAACCGAAAATTAGCCTACTACTAAAACTAGCCTACATGAATTTGATTTTGCCTCACTTGTGACAGTTCGTTTGATATGAAACTATCATGCGTTATACTATCATTCTATGCGTTATTATTCTAAGGTTTTAAAAATATAACACATGTTCATGATAGTTTTAAATTTAAAAAAGAAGTAAAAGTGAATAATGGTGAAAAATTAATAAAAGAGAACTAATTTTGTGTAATCTGATGGGTTACCTTTAGATATATTTCGCTTTCGCGCCATTTTTTCAAATTTATTATCACGTACGTCCTGTTTTGAAAAGCGGGACTATTTAAGCATTTTGGAGACAGCGGGAGACGAAGCCTAAAAGTGGGACTGTCCCGCTCAAAGCGGACGGAGCGAGACTACATCTCGGTACCAATGACGGACGCTTTCTTTATTACACATTAAAAGTTGCAATGACAACAACAACAGTAACATATTTAAAGCTGATGCACAACAGGCGGCTTCGTTGCTTAGAAGCCTCGTACGTTAAGCTTAGAATTTTGGGAAGCCTGGTGGTCTTGTGGTATGAACAAGAGATTAGGTTCCAGGTTCGAATCACAGTAGAATTAAAATGAAAAACCAACTTTTTAAATTGATTCTGGGTGTTCTGAGTAGTGGCTCCGGACTCCGTAGTTCACTTAGAAGGAAATTCCCTACTTTGGAACCAAAAAAGTAATGGGTGTGATTATCTGACACATTATTAATATTGTAGTCTTCTTAACCACAGAGATAATGAGACCTGCAAAAAAATATGATTGTAGACCGTATTGTGTTTGTTGTAGGTCGCTACCGAAACTCTGCAGCCAAGAAGAGGAGCAAGGTCGCCCGCCACAGGGAGGCGTTATAACGTTCGAGCCTATTCAACACGACCACGATTTCTGCGAAAGGGTTGTGATAAATGTAAGTAAATAATTTCTTTAAGACCTATTGTCTAAATCGGCCCCGCTTGAGGCATGAGGCCGCTATCTGCCCAAGAGCTTTTAGCTCGCCGTTTGGTGCGTGTGCAGTCTAGAACATTTACAGAGCCTTTACATTGAATACGTGCAGGCAAACTCGGCCGTAATGTGCTGACTTACGCCCACGGGCTTTTTCATGGTGGTAATGCATTTAAAAAAAAAATTGCACCGTACATCCCTTATACATTAAGCAAGATAGATAAGCAAGAGATAAGCAAGAGAGAAGCTTTAAATGCTCGAAAATTCGGAATAATTGCATATAAGCTTGAAGTATAGTAAAAAAACTAAACATTTGCTAAATTAATTTTATTAATTCAAATTCTGCAGCATTCCAAGTATTTCCTAGTATAATTTATTTTATATCTTTACCATCATAGTTCTAGGCAAAAGCCTTTTACAACATTTCAGTTCGAGTTGTATTATTTAAGGAAGAATAGCTGGCCATCTGTCTAAATTAAAAAAAACAAAAGCCTGCAATTTGCAAAATCCTTAATTGTTGTTTCACAACAAAAGATTTTGATTCATACAAGAAATAAATTATCATTATATTTATTTTCTCACATATGTGATGAAAAACGTTGTATGTAGCACGGGCGGTAAAAAGTTCCAAAGTTCCAAAGACTCTCTTTTGTAATATCTTATTGACCGTCGTATTGTTTCACTCAGCGACGAATTACTTATGGCTGCCGAAACGACACTTCGGCAGATAATCGAGACCTTTACAGCACACAACACTCACTAGTGTGATTTCGATTTTGAATTTATTATTCTTTATCTAACAGAAAATGTTACACACAAACATTCCCTCTTAGTACCTACCTACTGTTATTTAGACTACAAGGTTATCAAATAAAGATACCTAAGGGACGATAGATCCCACATCAAAGTCGAGCAAGCAAGTCTGTACATACTTTTCTTGGAACAACTTAGTACACTTTTCAGTACCCATATCTGTATTACGGACTGCGCTATAAGGGAGTCACCAAACTTCTTAACGCGGAATGGTCTTGATGCGACCGTGTTTGACCACACTTGTCGCATTAAGGCGATTCCCCGTTGACGCGGTCGTTCGCGCGACGTCGCGCTAATTGTTTCTAAACCAGGATTAGCTGTCGTCGGCATGCGTACGGACGCGATCGGAAATTCGCAGGAAGCAGATTCGTTGCCGACCTGTGACGAGCTCTTACGTTCAGACCGGCTCAATCCGATTCTGCGTTAATAAGTGTGGTAAATTCCCTAAGGATGAAATTTCTGTTAATAAGAGAATTCAATGTATTTTATTGAACCCCTGAAGTACAAAACTCTATCTTATGTAATTTAGAATTTAAAAATATCTACTACCAAACTTTTTTCAATTTTGTTTCTCCCTTACTGAGCACCAGTCATTAAAAATTTAAGGCGCCTTTACTCCTGAAACTTTGAATTTAGTTAAAGTTTAATCTGTAAAGAAAGGAAAAATTAAAAAGCCAAGGTACATTTTTTACAAACTTTACTAGATTCTTTGCAACCAATTCGGTGGCGTCCGCTGTGTCCGTCTGTCGATTTTACATCTCAGTATTGAGATATTAAGCTTTCTCTTACTTCGCATCTAAAATAAATGCGAGTAGCCTAAATAAATTTGTAGAATTTTATGAAATTCTGTAGTTAAACAAATACAAACAGTTTTCGAAAGTAAAAGTGTGAAGTAAACTCCTCAACCCGTAGTAGTCCACAGTCGTGGGCCTAACATGATCATCCATAGCCTGATTTCACCCAATGTTAATCCTCGGCCACCAATCGTCGACGTCTTGCTCCACCTGTCATCACCTTGCCTTTTCCTTGCGGGTTCCAACATCCTGGACTTTCGTCCGTCGTCGGATCTCAACGTTCGGAACTCGGTCTACAAGGCTGATGCCGAGCATGACGCTCTCCATGGCCCTCTGTGTACTTCTCAACCTGTATACCGTCTCGAGTGTGAGTGTCCATGTCTCGGTACCATACGTCATGGTGAACGAACACATTGATTAAACAAGCGGGCCTTCAGACACTGTTGAACCTTGTCTGGTTTAAGGATGTCATGTGACTTGCCAAACCAACACACCCCAGCTGGATTCTTTTTGAGATCTCCTTAGGCTGATGCTCTTTGCCAAAGCATAGAACATGTCGGGGATAGACGTATCGATCGCCTCTCATTTTCCACCGTGACACTGGCTTATACTAGGAAGTATATAACTCAATACACGCAAACTCCAATGCACGTTCGAAACTATATTATCTACAGTAACATCGACTGAAGCGTGACGATCCCCGACCAAATACGATTTGATTCAGATGCACTCACACATCACGTTCACGTGCACACATTTCCATCAGGCATTAATTTGGTTCTGATTAAAACGACCTTTGTTCCAATGTCAAAATCGTTACTAATTCAGAATTTGCTAGAAACATTGCGTTTTCCTGCTGAAACTGTCAGTTGTGACCCTTTTGTTGCCACAGCTAGCATTACACATACTTAGTGTCCATGTTTATGGAATAATCTTTCTTTTAATTTAATTAAATTTTTGTTTTGTTTATAATTTTTAGTTTTGTAATTTATTTGCCTCTTACGTTAGAATTGTTTGATTCTGTGTTTTTTTCTTTTGTGGTGTCATTATTTGTAGGTAGTCAAATAAATGCGTTTAGTTTATTTCAATGTAAAACAAATAAAAGCCATAATGTTCCATGCTGCACACACACATCTATGTTACGTAGTACCACAAATAGTACGAAACCTCTATTTCCTATACGATGCTACGTCTGCACAACACTTGACATTGAAACATAAAACACAGTCGCGGCTTTGATACCTGAGACTTAATTAGTGCTGCAGTGAATAATTACTTTAATTACTGTGGCGTTCAAGGCTTCTACGTAAAAGGGTTAATTACACGTACCACCAATCGCTGTTTCGAAGAGGTTATAGAAATTGAATTGAAAATGTCTCTTACGGGGTTAAGAAAATTTGTGTCAAACGAGAATGAACTTAGAGTCAATGATTTTATCGTAATATTATGATCTGCTGATCTTTTTCCTTAATTTTGAACTGGGTTCTATTTTTCATCGCCAAATGTTACATGTGCGAGTAAAACCTCAACAATTAATTAATTCGGATTTAATGTAGCACGCGTACTTACAGAGCGTGCAAGGAAAAAGGAAGAGAGTGGGAAGTCGTGGGCGAGGGAGAAATCAATATCCTGTCAAATAAAACAAATAATAAAATAGCACTTCTTGACATTCCTGTCCTATCGGAGGTTGGGCATCCTGACTTCAAGGTAACTGAAGGCAATCCTGACTTTAGAGACAGCCACTCTGGAGAATGAGATGCTACTGCAGCCGAACCATTATCTCAATTTCTATCTTCATCATTCGTCCGATCTTGCCCTGTATGATAAGCTGGACTAATTTGTATGACTTCAACATTTGTAACCCGATCATGCCATAGGATTCCCTATGTACGGTGGTAAACCCACATCTCAAAGGTCTCCAGCTTCTTTGTCGACGGCCTGTGCGACGGCCCAAGTTACTATGCTATATAATAGAAATGAGAAGGATATAAAGGATTTAAGCGGAGACTCAGATTCTTATCACACAGCACGTGTTTGTTGAAATTATTAGATTTTTTTAGCGAATTTTTTATAACACCAAGTGACGAGACGAACAAGTCGCGCGTCTGGTGCTAAGTGACAGGCCTGTCCATGACCGCGCCACCTTCAGTGCCACTGAAGGCTTTAAATCACATATAGATTTGACGGCTACTGCCGCCTCGAAACATAAAATTGACAAGTCCCATGTGCCTGTAATTTCACCAATACCCTTACGGCAGAAATAAATATATAGTGACAGAACTTCGCTAGACAAACTCTTTCGCAAGGAGCTCTTCTGCTACTAAAACTTCTCATCTCTCATCTGTGATTTAATGAAATCCCTAAGGGTTCAACCCTTTTTCTGTAGAGAGACATGTGGCATTAGCGCTACTCTATTCAAGTTAGGCAGTTTGCAATAGAACTGGAGTAGTGAACGTAGCATTAGCGATTGAGGTCAAATCTCTGATTTGATCATTTCTCCGGGACATCGAGCATATAACCTGGTTATGCTCGACGCTCCGGGACATTCAGGCAGGTAGTCTTGTGTGCAAATCGAATACGGTACTCAACGAGGTCAAGACCACGACCCCTTTAGGAATGGAATGTTTCGTAAGCTGATCCTAGCGTAACTGCGCGGGTTTTTTGCAGAATGTGGGAACTTGTATGTCGATTTGGAAAAATCTTTATATTTCAGCGTATACGTAGAAGGAATCTAAGTAGAAATTAGACTGAAATATTGTTAATAAGGATTATTATATGCCAGCGCCCAGTTAACAAGAAAATATCCTTTCACACGGGACTGTACTGAGTATATTCGAAGCATGTGAGTTTAAATTCAGTTCTCTTGAGACAAAGTCAAAGTCAAAGTCAAAGATTATTTATTCCATAGGTAAAATAAATTTACACTTGAAAACGTCACATTTAAGCTACTGCTCGTTCACTACGCTGACCTCCCTGAGAAGAACGAGCAAGAAACTCTAGGGATTGCTCTTTTCAAATAAACTTAAATGCTATGGAATACATTTTGAATCAAATTTGTGTGGATTCTGGAGCCATGTCGTCTTTCCATACATCTTTATCTAACACGTAGTCTTCAATTTTGTAATATGATTTTTCGATCAAAATATTTTTAATGTAGTTTTTAAACTTAGGAAATGATAAACTTAATATATGCTCCGGAATCTTATTGTAAAAACGTATACAGTTCCCCATAAAAGAGTTGTTTACCTTGGTTAAACGAAATCGTGGTACCATGAGTTTGGACTTAGCTCTAAGGTTAAGGTTAGCTATTATGGATATCTTCTTTCTTATTGAAATTATGTATATTTTTACGGGCATA